CTCTCTGTTTCTCTTTTTCTCTCTCTCTCTCTTTCTCTCTCTCTTTCTCTCTCTTTCTCTCTCTTTCTCTCTCTCTTTCTCTCTCTTTCTTTCTTTCTTTCTCTCTCTCTCTCTCTTTCTTTCTCTCTCTCTATTTCTCTCTCTCTCTCACTCCTTTCTCATATACAGGTGAACCCTAGTGTGTGTATTTTATTATTTATATTTACTATTTGTACCTGCAGGTTCGAGCCGTTAGCTCTTGGGCCCCGCCTTTCTAACCGTTGGTTGTCTAATGTACTGACTCCCAACCTATTTTTCCCCTATCATATCAATTATATATATTTCTTTGTAACACACAATCCAAGATGCAGCCCATAGTAGTACTACTAAACTCCTTAGCACCTATTCATTGCTAAGTGAACAGGGACATCAGGGTGAAAGAAACTCTGGCCATTTGTTTCTGCCTCGGCCGGGGATCGAACCCGAACCCTTAGGACTACGACCCCCAAGCGCTGTCCACTCAGCCGCGAGGCCTCAACCTAATGTGTGTGTGTGTGTGTGTGTGTGTGTGTGTGTGTGTGTGTGTGTGTGTGTGTGTGTGTGTGTGTGTGTGTGTGTGTACTTACCTATTTTTGCATGCGGGGGATTGAGGTTTGGCTCTTTGGTCTCGCCTCTCAACTGTCAATCAACTGGTGTACAGATTCCTGAGCCTACTGGGCTCTATCATATCTACATTTGAAACTGTGTATGGAGTCAGCCTCCACCACATCACTGCCTAATGCATTCCATTTGTCAACTACTCTGACACTGAAAAAGTTCTTTCTAATATCTCTGTGGCTGATATCTTCACTTGTGTGTGTGCATGTGTGCGCGCGCACTCACCTAATTATGCTTGCATACGTCGAGCTTCAGCTCTCTGATCCCGTCTCTCCACTTTCAATCAGCTGGTGTACAAGTTCCCGAGCCTGTTGGGCTCATATCTGCACTTGAAACTGTGTATGGAGTCAGCCTCTACCACAAAACCTCATAATGCACTCCATTTATTAACTGTGACATTAAAAAAAGTTCTTTATAATGTCTCTGTGGCTCATTTGGGTACTCAGTTTCCACCTGTGTCCCCTTGTTCGAGTACCACCCGTATTATATAATCTGCCTTTATCTACCTAGTCTATTTTCACTGAAAATTTTGTATGTGGTGATCATGTCTCCCTTAACTCGTCTATCTTCATGTGTTTTTCTCTTCCTCTGTCTCTTCCCATTTATCATCACCCCGTGTTATCCTCCCAATCTTTTGTTTACTTATCTCTTCCCTCATTCCTGTTACTCCCTCCCTCATTCCTGTTACGCTCTCCCTCATACTTGTCACTCCTTCCTTCACTTGCGTTACTCCCTTGCCCCCCTGTTCCTCCGTGGCTGCAGCTACGGACTCCCGCCACAGCCGGTGACAGTGTCGTGGCGACAATTGGCGGGAGAAGAGAGCGTGGTCGCCCGCCACTACCCTTCTCGTAGCCTCATTCTCTCCTCCACCGCCCTTCTCGCAAGTTCCCTCTTCCTGTTCATCAGCTTTTATCTTGTTCTCCATCATCCCCTCCTGCTCCCCCCCCTCTCCCCCACTCCTCGTCGGATAATGGCAGGCCGGGGAGCATCATAACAGGAACCCAACAAATAGGTGTAGTGTGAGGAAGGGCCGCCATTGTCGGCAAGACGGACCGCTTTTGTTTCTTTTGTCGGACAAGTTCCTCCCACTGTGAGAGGCTGCTGCCTGCCACATTTTCACTCTTATTTTCTCAACCCTTTTAGTTGGGTTTCGTCCCTGGTAACTCTGTGAGCTCTGACGGTCGTCATATTCAACGTTAAAACGTTTCATACTGCTCCATTTCCGGCGTAGGAACGCGAGTAAATTGCAAATAAGCGGAGAAAGTAAGAGGGGAAGTGTCGATGGCAACTGCGCTGGGAAGAAGCTAGGTTGCACAAGATTTTCCGAAGAGGCGAGTTTTAACAGTTTTCCACTCGCTCGTTTACCGTCAGAGCCGCGGAGTAAGCCAGGTCATCTCTCCTCCACACCCAAGGCACCGCTTAAAATTATCCCCAGCATGAACCAACTTGCAAGCGCTCGAGCAAGGGCAAAATGAGCAAAATAAACAAAAGCTGCCAAGTGCGCATCTCTCTCTCCGCTGATGACTGAGAGACCACTATAAAACATATAGGAATCGCCCCCTCCAGCCAGCCACATACAAGCCTCTCCATCGATTCATTTTCACGCCATTTAAGGCTTTACGTCGCCCGAGCATAAAAGGTAATATCCCGCGACAGTAGTCCGTTTGATAAGTTCTTAGTGTCCTCCCGGGTAATGTCTTTCCCGCGTGTACGAAGATCATCAACATGGCTGCTGCCCCTCCGCCACCCACTTCACACACACACACACACACACACACACAGGCATACACACTCCCTTACTAACACACAAACGTTATCATTAAATTAACAGTGTTCCTAGTGCCATAAAAGGAGTTAATTAGCGTATTAAAACAGTCTCCATGGGCGTAAGCGGCAGCGCCGAGGCTGAAGGCTCTAATGTGGAGGTGTTCGTAAGCCGCCTCGAAGCAGAGCAGAGGCGACGTCGTGTTGGACCAATGGCGGACCAGGTAAAAATGCCGTTGGATTTTTCTACGAATATGTTTCACAGGCCTTACGTTGGGATCCCGGTGTGACCTCCCCGTGCTCCGCCACAGCTCATCTCCATGGGATTTACATAGGAAAACGGCCAGGAAACTCCCTTATGGGGAGCCGGTCGGCCGAGCGGACAGCACGCTGGACTTGTGATCCTGTGGTCCTGGGTTCGATCCCAGGCGCCGGCGAGAAACAATGGGCAGAGTTTCTTTCACCCTATGCCCCTGTTACCTAGCAGTAAAATAGGTACCGGGGTGTTAGTCAGCTGTCACGGGCTGCTTCCTGGGGGTGGAGGCCTGGTCGAGGACCGGGCCGCGGGGACACTGAAAAAGCTCCGAAATCATCTCAAGATAACTCAAGATAACGTCATTGTTTTGTTTTAACGGATCATTTTCAAAACCTATACTACGGGTCTGCAGCAGGTAGTTCAGGGGCCTGTAGCAGGCAGTCCCGGGTTTGCATAAGGATGTCCCAGAGCCTGCAATAAACAGCCCAATGGCCTGCAACAGGATGTCTTAGGACATGCACCAGGATATTCAGGACCTCTAGCAGGCTGTTCCAGGAGCCTTACCAGGGGCTGTGCGCCCTGGACATACTGGAATGTTGGAGAAAGGTTTCAGGAATCCTGAGGCAGGATCACTTTCCAGGATATCAAGAACCTACAGATGGACAACAATATAACTGCAGGCTGTAATGTACCAGTGATATACAGTTCTGTATTCTATGTCACTGAGGCTAGTTATGCAAACACGAACGATACTGGTAATGTTCGCATTAATCTGTAACTTGTGTATGACGTCATTGATGTGTGTGTGTGTAGAGGAGGAATGAGTTGTATACTCGCCTAGATGTGCTCACACAGTATATTTGTGGAGGGGGTGTACCTCCCTAATTTGTGTTTGTTGGGTGGGAATACTCACCTAGTGTTTGTCGGGAAGTGTACTCCCCCTTAGTATGTGTGTGTGTTGTGTGGGGTATACTCGGCTAGATATACTTGCAATGAATCATTACATTTAACCTGAATTGCCTATAATATTGATGTATGTTTAATAAATTTACTTCACTGAATTAGTTTTAAATAAGTAAAATAGAATGAACACTTGACAATACTAAAGAAACCCAAATTCCACTCTTAGACTTACTTGTAAGATAGTCAAGACGAGCTGCCTTTCTTGAAGGTAACAATTTCGGAAGGTAATGGTGTCTTCCACATTTCTGTCAACATGAAAGAAACCTTAACAACTTATACAGATCATTACAACAACTATGCCCTAAACAGGTTCAGTCTAAAAATATATTTTACATTTTTGGTATGGAGTGAACGACACTGAATTTACAATTTGAAAGGATACTATATATATATATATATATAATATATATATATATATATATATATATATATATATATATATATATATATATATATAAAGGGAGGGAGTACCACCTCTAGCTGGAAGAAGGGGGACCCATAGCCTAGCCTCGGAGGAAACCACGCATAACGCATTAGAGGGAATGTTTAGATCCCCTCCAATACAGTTTCTGTGTGCTTTTCTCCTACCACCCCCCCTTCCTTTTTTATTTTTTGTGCTTTATTATATATATATATATAATATGTGCTAATAATGTGCTTTATTTATTATATAAAGTATAATATATATATATATATATATACTATATATATATATATATAGATATATATATATATATATATATATATATGTATTTATGTGTGTGTGTTCTCTATAACTGTAGCATTGCAATAAAATAAAACAAAACATACAAAAAAATAATAGGGGTGGTAGGAGAAGAAAAGAATAAAGTATTCAGTGAGAATCCACAAGATCTTCTCTGAATGCTCTTTGTTTTCTTCTTCGAGGATGTGGGTCCTTGCAATTGCACCAGAGGTGGTACCCCTAAAATATATATATATAATATTATATATATATATATATATATATATATATATATATATATATATATATAATATATATATATATATATATATATCACAATAATAGGAAGTTGAGAAGTCAACTTGAAGAACTAATATACTATCTACTAGTCATACAGTATAACTAGTTGGAAAGTCATTTAATCAAGGTATCTTGACAAAACAAACATATCTCTATTAAAAAAAAATAATTCTATCCACAACCTGACCATCGTCAGAGAGATTCCGACTAAAAATATTTGACATATAGTCAATGTTGACATAGCAGAAGAACTTGGCATCAAACACTCATCCAATTATCAGAAACCCGTTCATATGTAGAACACGAGAGAACTGCCAATTTACAACCACCCACTACACCAGCTGACCAGGGTAGCCTCCTGAAACATTCCTAATCACCTCAACACTGCAGTTTCATCATCTTGTATTCGCCTGCATCTCTGAGGACTTGCTGAAATGCCTCAGGGCGTTTAGATAAGTAACTTAAACTATGAAGACTATATTCAATTTCCTTCTCAGATGAAAGGCCTAAGAAATATGGATTAGAATTCATGCAGAATCATGATCTAACCCTTTTGGTCCCATTATAATATATATATATATATATATATATATATATATAATATATATATATATATATATATATGCTCTGTTGCTCTATGTCTGGGAAAGTTCCTGGGAAACATGGGTTATGAACTGAAAGATATTTTCCCATAAAATTCACTAGTATAATGTGGGAATGTGTTCTTTGTAGAAAAAGAAATGTTCAAAATACACGCGATAAAAGAGATAGCATACAATATAAATATAATACAGTTGTGCTTACCAGAGATTGCAGCAGAGATTTGAGGCTTCGTGAGGGTTGATATGAGGCTCCATGAGGACTGCTGATGCTTTCTGAGGGCTGATGAGGCTTCGTAAGGACTGATGAGGCTTCGTGAGGGCTGCTGATGCTTTCTGAGGGCTGATGAGGCTTCGTGAGGACTGATGAGGCTTCGTGAGGACTGCTGATGCTTTCTGAGGGCTGATGAGGCTTCGTGAGGACTGATGAGGCTTCGTGAGGGCTGCTGATGCTTTCTGAGGGCTGATGAGGCTTCGTGAGGACTGATGAGGCTTCGTGAGGGCTGCTGATGCTTTCTGAGGGCTGATGAGGCTTCGTAAGGGCTGATATGAGGCTTAGTGAGGACTGATGAGGCTTCGTGAGGACTGATGAGGCTTCGTGAGGGCTGCTGATGCTTTCTGAGGGCTGATGAGGCTTCGTGAGGGCTGATATGAGGCTTCGTGAAGGCTGATATTTCGCTTCGTGAGGGCTGAAATGAGGCTTTGTGAGGGCTGATATTTGGCTTCGTGAGGGCTGAAATGAGGCTTTGTGAGGGCTGATATGAGGATTCGTGAGGGCTGATATAAGGCTTTGTGAGGGCTGAAATAAGGCTTCGTGAGGGCTGATACGAAGCTTTGTAAGGGCTGATATGAGGCTTCGTGAGGACTGATAGGAGGCTTCGTGAGGGCTGATATGAGGCTTCGTGAGGGCTGATATGAGGCTTCGTGAGGGCTGATATGAAGCTTCGTGAGGGCTGATACGAAGCTTCGTGAGGAGGGTATGTTACTTCAAGTGTTACTCACAGAGGCTGAGACTGTCTACCTTCCCATCATACGAGGGTATAATCTGGCTCCTTTCCCGTCAACACTCGCCCCTTCACCCATCATCTTGATGTTACAGAAGTTGCAACGACGAACACAGCCCCTCAAACCACTCATTGTTTGCTGTCAACATTAATGCCTTTGAAATCTTCAAATAATGAGTGTTTCATAATTATCAAAAAACTGGCTCTTTACATTATCTTGAATCCAAACGCTTCAAAAAAAAAAAGACACGTAAAAGCACCAAATGTCTGCCTTACATTACTTTTTTTGCCCGCACATAATGGAGTTGCTTTTATATACTGTCAGTACTCTTAATAACTGCTCTCCCAGTCAGAGGCGACGGGCAGCGTGCGCAGCTGATCAATTCAATCACCAAAACACCAATTTTAACACTATCCTATTTTTAGCCAGTAAACTGACGGCTTTTCCTAGATGTCTTTGCCTCTGAGGGTCCACTGTCACTTAATATAGCCACTTTCCACTTGTGTTTGCTAAGGTTGTACCGTTTTAAAAGGGAAATAATGCGCGGGCCACGAGCGGGGCGCTGCCACAATGGCGAAGTAAACACAGGGATCGAGGTCGCTTAAGGTCCGCGCCCGCCTCCTGGGTCCCAACCAAAGAAACTGGGGAAAAAAATTATTTTCACTATTGAATTCATATTTCACACATTTCTTGACACAAAAAAAGGTAGCAATTCATATTTAATTTTTGTAAATCGAAATTTATTTCTAGTTGACGAACAAGTCGAGTTTTCTTAAAATTATGTAAGTTTCTAAATTTTGTTCACGTGGAATGATAAAGCTTTACATTGCATTTTTTTTGTATACAAGTTAAAAATAGGATAGAAATTTGATCAAACCTAACCTAATTAAATCAGTAATTCATGTTGTTAATAAAAATATAATATTATATATTATATATATATATATATATATATATATATATATATATATATATATATATATATATATTATATATATATATATATATATATATATAAACCAATTTGAAAACAAATGTTTTGAGAATAACGAAAATCACTCTACCTGTTAGGCATATCGGGCCTTACATACTAGGCTCAGTAGGGCGTTCTGGCTATAAAGTGTATATATATATATATATAATATATATATATATATATATATATTATATATATATATATATATATATATATATATATATATATATATAATGTTGAATATGACCTAAAGGATAATATTTTTTATTCTAACACGAATCTTTTCAATATTTCTTAT